ATATTGTATCCGAGTGATGACGAGTGCGAGATACGTATACAATGTTACCGTATACCCACAGTACACGCGTGATTGTGCGCATGTAACGAGATAATATACACTTACATGGGCTACCGCGCGGGATGCGCACGTGTGAAGGTCAGCGTAGTGCGACTGAAAAAATGCCGCGCAGCACGCATTTATGTGCGCAAATACTTAAACGTGCTAGAGTTACGATGAAATACGCCCGGGCCCGGATATGATCCCGTAGAGCTGACGCGCCTGTACAGTCAGAGGGAGAGAGGAAAAACAATAAAAAAAAAAAAATAAAAAAAAAAAGGCACTCGAGAGGATTCCCAAGAGCGAAGACACCGTGCGCGCGCGCTCGGTGGAATAATCCGAGAAATCGATCGAGAGGGGGCGGGAAGGAAGTGTAAATAAAAGCAAGCATCATCCTCGCGGATGAATGGACGGGAGAATGAGGGGAGGGGGACCTCTCGGGCCGTAACCCCATCTCCGCTCGCGCCGGATGCCGATCACTCGAAATCCAATTATCGCGATAAATATTTCGCGGGGGGAGCGAGGGACCGTACGCGGCAGCGATACATACTAGTTGCTATAGAGTCGAGGAGAAGCACGAGGCACGGGAGGGAGAACTCCAGCTCGCGAGATCTATACCCATTCATCTCCTCACGAGTTTGCACGGTGTATTACGTATATGTATACACATATACACACACACACACACATATATATATATATATATATACATATATGGCAAAGGATGGTGGGTACAGTGGAGGCTTGGCTCTTTGCGTGCCTCCTCGCTCTCGCTGGAAAGATGCACGGCCATTAGTAGCGCGCCTCCTCCTCAAGAGCGCATCTATGCACGGCGTACACTCCGGGTAGCTAGCCAGACGAGGAAGGGGGCAAGGGAGCGCGGCCGATGAGAGAATAACGCGACCCGCGTTCTCGGCGCTCGACGTGACGTGTAAAAATAATAAGATTCGCATTATAATGGTAACTGTAAACGTGTCGCGCAGGTCGCGGCCGGCGCAATAATCGTGGACACGGGTTACCGTCATCTCTCTCCCTCTATTTACGAGCTGGATGCGGTAAGCAGGCGTGCGGTCGGGACCATTTTTTAATGCCTCCTTCTCGCGTCCCCCCTCCCCCCGTACACCCTTATCCCCCTAATGCGCGTGTATGTGTTAGCATCTACTGTGCTGCGTATTGTATGTTGTATACCTCATCTGCGACGATGGAGACAGGGAGTCAAAGTCGCACCGCAATGACCGAACCATCATCAGCGGCAAAGACGACGACAGCGGTGGCTCGAGCCACCGACCAAACCGCCAATAACGTCCTCTCTCCGGCTCTATGCTTGCTATACGACGACTGGAGCAATTGTGAGGTCACTCGCAAAAATATTCGTACACTTATTTCGCTTTCCTGCTTACACCCGCGAGTGGGAACTCGACGGCAGCCACAGTAGCAGGTCTTTTCTTCTTCTTCTTCTATTTCTTTTTTTTTTGTTTTTGTTTTTGTTTTTGTTCTTTTTTGTTTTTCTTTTCCTCTCTGTGGCTTTGTTCGTTTCTTATTCGTCGCTCGCCAAATACCTACTTGATGGTTCTGCAAATTGCCCCTGAGCGACATTTCAAGACCATTGCTGAGTGAGTCTTTCTGCCTCGAGTTCACCGTCGGTAGGTGTATATACATGGGTGTATCTATACGTTTCACAATTTTCGATGACGGCCATTGTCGTTAATTTAGAATTAATAATTCATCATCACTGGTATTTCGGCAGCGCCTCTCTCTTTCCTTAGCCGTTCTGGATCATCCCTACATGGGATTTAGACCGGGCTCAAACAGTGATGAACCGGGAAAAATTATTCGCACCCAATCTTTTTGTGCTTTCTTGTTCAAAGTATCGTAATGTATCTGAAAGTTAATCTTGCCAACCAAGAATGTGGTCAGGTATTGTTTAAGGAGGTTAGATACCATCTTTCAGACAGGAGGCTAAGCGAGGTCAAGGGTGTGGGAAGCTCACACCATGGCCAACAGAACGTATTACCGCATATTCTTATGGAATACATGCATCCATCTTATAAACCTTACCAAAGTTTTTATTTTTATTTCAAAAAATCGTGATTTTCTCTTTAATTAGTATGGATACCGACAAAAATCAGAGGATCATATGAATCTGCAGTATTTGAAGTATCAAAATATATTTTTTGTTGATTTTTAAACTATTACTAAGGAAGGTTATTTTTAGGTCACAACACTGTTCCCATAACAGCCCGTGTTGAATTGTTCATTTTTTATTTTGAAATATCTTAATAACTACATGGCTGAGATCGCCCAAAAAAAGTACGTTTATTTTTTATAACACATTGAATAAATCGAAAACTAAATTAGAGCCCCCAGCTAATGTCGATGATATGTATCCAACCTCCTTAAACAATTATTTTGTGAACAATTTCGTCAAAGTTGTTTTTTCGACCTGAAAAAAAATGTTCTCAGATTCTTTAGCACATTTTAAAGAAAAAATCAACTGTAATGTATGTACCTAAACCCCACAGCTTTCGAGTAAAAAATTCCCAAAGTTTCAAAAAGTGCATTTTTCAGAGCTCCATGACAGTGATAAATAAACTCATTTTCATATGTTACAACACATAATCATAATAAACCCCACAGTTTTCGAGTAAAAAATCCCTAAAGTTTCAAAAAATGCATTTTCTCCAATTTTCAGAGCTCCACGACAGTGTTAAATAAACTCTTTTTTGGAGATTGTAGAGGAAGGCTTACAGTTTATGATTATGTGTTGTAACATATGAAAATAAGTTTATTTATCACTGTCATGGAGCTCTGAAAAATGCACTTTTTAAAACTTTGGGAACTTTTTACTCGAAAACTGTGGGGTTTAGGTACATACATTACAGTTGGTTTTTTGTCAAAAATGTGCCAAAGAATCCAGGAATTACTAGACATGTAAGTAACAACATAATATTTTATTATTAATAATCAAGGAGTAATGAGTTTAAATTAATAAAAATTACTAAATTTCCATCTACATTTACTAACTGTCATTTATATCATCGAAAAATAAATAAATAAAAGTGTCTTGCGGTTTATGGCAGCGTTAGGAGCGGCGGCGGGTGCGTAGCAGATAAAAATATCAAAAAACCCCTCTTAGTTTATTGACTATACTTTAGTAAAATAGTCTCATCTTTCGATCTAGATGGTCAAAAAAATTCTAAAAAGTGTACATCATAAGATTTAACGCATTTTTACCAATATTTGCATTTTTATAGGTTATAGAGTGAAAATTTGTGAAAACTGATAGCGCTATCAGAAAGCTGAGAAAAAAGTGCAATGGGAATACTACTTTTGTGATTTTTTAAACATTTCTCTCAGGCCCAAACGACGAGATGAAAAAGTCGTCATTTGTGCTCACGCGGCCTGCCTGCGGTGGCGCTGGGGCAGTTGAGAAAATTCTCCCCATGTATGTAAGTATATGGGTCATTCTATCGGAAACGGCACATTTCATGTCTAAGAAAAGATTAAGTTTAAGAAGAGATCGGTCTAGAAACCTTTTTAATTATTTAAGGGATGTTAACTGCTGAAGGTACAACCGAATTTAGACCATCAAAAAGTATTTCTTTAGTTTTGGATGCAAAAACGGAGCTACATTGGCGTTACTGACTCGTCTTTCACTCATAAATTTATAGTTTTTGAGACACTTGGAATCAAAATATGAAGTTTTTAATTTTTCTATAGTAGGAAATTCTAAAATTATTAACGTAAACAAAATTTTTACGCGAACTTGCAAATTCTGTCCCCCCAAAAACTAAGAGCCCGTAACCCTAAGGAATGTCATGTAACTTTTCGAAGCGTTCGGTTATCGATTAAGAAGGTGGTGGGTTGAAATATAACTATTTTGTATATAATAAAGCGTAGTGGCGAAGTTTTTTTACGATTTCATATGTTACGATCTCGATTTTTCGACTGATTTATAAGAGCTCGTAACGCTCCATTTTTCGCTAAGCACCTGTAATGGTTTAAAACGCATTGCATCTTTGTTGAATGTTGGATTATCGACTTGGATAGTGACTTTTACAAATGTTAATAGTAATTACATGATATGTATATGAAAATAAATTAAAATTTTGATAGAAAGTGCCTTTATCTCAGTTGTTATGAGATTTTCTAAAAGCCTGTAATGCTCCAATTTTTTAAAAATAAAACAAGACCGTCATCGTTAAAACTTTTTTTGTTCAGATCTAGCAGGACCAAAAATTGTAGCTGATTTTGGTCACGGATAATACGAGAAAAATATTTTTACAAATAACACTACACAAGTGTTTGTCCATTCCAGCCCTTGAAATAAATCGGTTTTCGTAGAATAACCCGTATATATATTTACACGTACAGTGAGTGATTCATTGCTGCATTTATTTGAACCTCGCAAAATTTCATGATTAAAAAGGGCGTACGGAAATGATTCCTCAAACTAAAACTTAAATTAGAAAAGTATTGAAAAATCATGGGAGTTTATTAAAAAAAGTAACTTTAAGTAAATTTTTTTACTTAGTTCTAACTCAAGTGTGATTCCCCTATACAGGTTTTAGTAACTATGAATGAACAAAAAAAAAATTTTTATTGTGAATAATTAAACGCTGTAAGGCTTTATTGAAGGACGGCTAAAAAAAAGGACCGTTTCAATAAATACACGTATTTTTGGTGCGAGCGCCGGCTCCCCAAAACTTTCCTTGGTGCAGAGTAGGTACTATCATCTGATATTTCGGAAAAGGGCATTTAGTGATTCAAAAAAACTTTAATCTTCTAATGAGCAAATAAATCATGCCTACAAGAGCTATGATGGTGATAAATCAAGTGTTTGGTTGTAAGATTAAAAAATTAATCGAGATGCTAGCAACTATAGGGGAAGGAATGAATAAGGAAACGAACGGACGGGCGTAGCATATTAGTAATAAAGGAATAAAATGGCAAAAATTTACCTTGCATCCCTCGCACGTGAACGCCCCGAAGTGGAATCCGGCCGCTGGCTCCCCGCAAACCTTGCACTGCTGATTCATCTGAAAAAACGAGTTATCAAAATGTTAGTCAAAGTATATGCTTGTAGAAACAAGAGAGATACAAAAGGAGGAAAAGAACGGCGAATAAAAGAAATGAAGCCGAAGGGGATGAAGAACGGACAGCGGATCGGGAGAAGAGGGATACACAGTTGTTGTAGGTGACGAGTATATGTTATATTCTAAGCGGGGAGGCGCCCCGGAACATTGGGGATCAGGGGATTAGCTACTGCAGCGCAGCGACGGTGAGTAACAACAAAAGTTGGGTGGTAGTGGTGACGGTGGCCGGGAAGGGGGGGGGCAGTGGAGCAAGAAGAGAGGGAGAGCGCATCGGGGACGATGAGCTGAGAGGTTGCAGCGCCGGGAAAGGAGAAATAAAATGTATGCACAGGCCGGATTGTCTAGATGGGCCTCTGAAAAATCGTCCGATTATACCGAATATAAAGTGTAGTCCCGGCAAAAGCAAATAACAATAATGATAATAATGATAATTGTAAAAAATGAGAGTGTGGAATGAGGGAGGGGGGAAGAGGTTGGGTGAGGTGAGGAAGGAACAACCTGAAAAAAGGACGTAGGCCTCATAATAACGCGCTGGGTGGCGGAGCAGAGTCGGGCTTTTATAGCCTCGCTCGGACGCTCGCGGAGCCGCGACTGATGGGAAACGAGTGGACCTATTCACGTATAACGCTCATTCTCTCTCTCTCTCTCTCTCTCTCTCTCTCTCTCTCTCTCTCTCTCTCTCTCTCTCAAGCGCGCGGTGACGCTCTCCCGAGATATGCGTGTGCGCGATCACTTTTCACGTACATTCATTTAGGTGTGTGTGTGCGTATGTGTGATCTCGGACGTACACTATATTCATCCTCTCTCTTCTCCTCTTCTTCATTTTACCTTATCTTTATCTCTACGACCCCTAAGTGTGTATGGGCATCCACGTATTATTATAGGTACGTTCATTTTAGAAATCCTCTTGAGCTGCGAGTTAACGATATAGGTACAGACCTCTCAACTTGTACATGCATGTATGTATATACTAAATAGTATACATGCTACACGTGAACGCGTACACCTACTACCGTATCGACTGTCCATTATTTGTCCACTTTAGAAACAATCGGACAAAAGCGACCGCTAAGCTTAGATTACGATCGTCGCGTTGGGCCGCAATCGGACCTGACGGCTCTCTCGCGAGCGTATTTTTCCTTTTTTTTGTTCATCCAGCTACTTTAAGGTAGCTCCCTTGCGAAAACCTACGTAATGAAATATGTTTCATTTAATAGATTTTGATCTACTGAATTCAACGGTGTCCTTGTTTATACCCCAAGTGGAGCAAAATCTTGAGATATTTCAGCTCAAAGTTGAACTGTTTAACACGAGCTTATAATTATGGCAGAGCATCAAAACATCAGCTTTACAGGTAAATACAAACTCACAATAAAAAAACCTGAGCAGATAAATTATGATGTACTTGTAGAAAAATCTCTGTTCTTCTCAATCCTGTCATGTCAAATGCTGGTAATGAGGCATTTTCTAAAGATATTTGCCAAGAAAGACGTGAAAATCAGCTTCATGGTTATAAATAACAGACGGTAGCAGAATACCAACACTGATAAGTAAAACTCGCCTACTTGACTAGAGCAGTAGACAAGGGAGTTACCTTAAGGCGCTTCTCCCGAAAAATGAACTATTATATTTTTGCTTGAAACTTTGTTTATTGCTAGATGACGTATTAATACAGATTTTCTGAAAATTTGAGCAAAATTGTACGTTTAGTTTTTGCGTAAAACAATTTCAAAGTTTGACAAATTCATATGCATCTCTTTGTCTAACACACGGTGTCTTATGGCAACGGCTGTCGACTCACTGCTCTGTTTTGTAGATTACTCGGAAAATAAATTATTTGTCTTTGATTAAAAACCATCACCATATAGTTGTAAGTTCCAGAAATCTTTTAGTCAATTGAATAGAAACTTTGTACGTTTACTTCTATTAGTAATTTGAGTTTTAAAGTAGCAAGCAACGAAAATTAGAGGTTACTTTTATCGCGAAATAATTTGGTGAAACGCAGTTGGCAACATGTACTTATCTTCTGCACCATATTCAAATTGAATTACGCACATAGGTATGCAGAATACTTGCGCAAAATTTTTTTTCTAATAATAACGAATCTGATAAGGTAAATAAATATTATTTAAATATTTTATTCAATTAATTATTATTTAAATAATTATTTAAATAATTATTATTATTTATCTCATTTCGCGAAATAAGTACATGATTGCCAACTTTGCACTCTAAATGATTTGCTAACTCATTTACCGACATGGTAATGCATATACAATTAACGCTAGATGGTGTACCTCTCGAGGGAGAAGCGCCTTAAGTAAACGACACTTGTTCGTGTTCTTTGGATGAAAATGGCACTTGCGTGACAATACCTGATGGACGCGGGACATACCCTTTTTCATGCACACGGTGAGCGAAGGACGAGAGGAGAAAACCGATAGCTGTCGAATAACACCGCGCTTCTCCCCTTCGCTTCACGCTCGGTCGTCACGAGCGTGGATTCGCCCCTATTCAGTGAAGAGAAATCGCGCCTCAGTTGTACATTCCAGGGGCCTTTCGCGAATCAATCCATTTCCATTTGTTTTTCCACGAGCGTTCGATTGCTCTTTCACTCATCTATATGTGATCGATAAACACACACACTCTCTCTCTCCCTCCCTGCTATTGTGTTATTTGTTGATACTTAATTACGAGGAAGGGCTCTATAATTGGAAACATATATGATGTGTTGGCTAACAAGGATCTTGAGTCCTTAGCCACTGAAATAAATCTAATATAATCTAATCTAATCTAATATAATCCCAGCGTTGTGCAAGCGAAAAAGCCGAGCCAGTTGACGATCGCGTAGCTGTCACTCTGATCTAACTGATTTGGTCACAGGGCCATATTTTTCTTCGTTTCGAAGCTGGTAAAGTTTTAAAAATATATTTTGTACTTTACTGATTTTTCAATCTTTATTGACTACAAATCAGCTAAATTTTGTATTCCTATTGGCTTGGGAAAGTAAATTGTATTGATTAAACTCAGTTAATGTGAAAACGTCAATCAAGTCTTGTGAACGGAATCCATCAATGAAATATACATCAGTACAGATGATTTTGCCTACGAGACAGTTAGCATGTACACAGTTTTTGCTGCAGGTGGTCTATTTTCGATTAATCAACGTTTGTGACCCGTAAAACCTCATGAAATGAGGTACACGTAAGTAAAAAAAAAAAAAATAAAAAAAATAAAAATAAACAAGTTCTTTGTCACCTACTTGAAGATGCATGCTCCTGTTCTCTTCCCATACTCTGTACGGGCCTTCCTGCATAAGTCAACTGATGCGCACACATACACATAACTCTCCGTGAGAAAGGCTTGTACCTGTAATATTTCTTCTCTATAAGTATAATATACCGATGCCTCATTGGCTCGTGTACCTTTGGCCCGTTTTTTTGCTCATCTCTCACCAGCTCCTCGCCTCGGTCTCTGTGGTCCGGCACGCTGTATTGTACATATAATATACAGAAGTCTGCCCGTCTCACGGCGCACAAACTGCGAGCCCAGCACTCAAAGGTCGTGCTCCCCCCCTCTCCAGCTTGGCTCCTGACTCGGGGTCCCATATCCGCGCGATATCTGTGAAGATTAAAGCTGTCTCATAACAGCACGCTGTTGGCGGCAGTAGTAGCGGCAGGTGCCTAATAAGGCCTTTTAACCGAGCATTGGCATGATGTACGTAGGTGCATGTACGTATGCAGCTGCGGTAAAAAGTCCCAAGTTTCTTCCTCTGCTCTCTATATTTACTTCTTTTTTTATATTTATTTTAGAAATCCNCGGAGGTTTTCGTGAATAGGTACTTATTTAAGAATACTTGAGTGCTCAACTCGTATTAAAAGGGCATACCGGCGCGCGCGACACGGGAGTCGCACAGGCGCGCACATCTTGGGCAGCTCGGCCTGGAAATTACAACGCATTTGTTTTGTCATTGCGGAAGCGTTGTTTTTTGCAAGCACCCGAGTATAGGTATATATAAGGGGACCGGCATAACGAATAGTGGATGAGAGAAGCAGGGGGAGGAAGAAAAGAAGAGGAGCGAGTGGCTATTTACACTCTCTGATGCACTGCAGCAGTTGTAAATAAATATATAGGTAGTGCACTCTGGTCGGCGGATGCCACGCATAAAGTAGTTGCCCGATTATTCGCGAGCCAAACGACGGCCGCTTCTGCTACAACTGCCGCTGCTCCCCGCGCGTTTGTTTCTGGTGCAGTAGCAGCAGCCGCAGCAGCTGTAGATGTATCTCTTGCCTTTCTAGAAATCGTTGGACCTGCGACAGTTGGCCTGTGCTTACTTACTTTTATTCACTGATGTACAGGCACAGAAGGACGCAATAGCGCACGTACACGGTGCACCGTGGGTTATAGCCACGCGGGAACTGATGTATTGGTACGGCCGGAGAGCCGAGAGCCGCAACCTGCACCGGCATCCGAGTTCCGAGCCGGGAGAATAATACGAGCTAACCTATACATATACCTACGGATCTCGCGAGCGCTCGTGTACAGAGCGGACGACGACGACTGTCCGATCGATCGGATCACTTTGATTGATGCGAGAGAGCCCCCGTGAGCGCGCGCGCGTGCTGTTTTATTTATTACCTTTTTTTCAGCCCCTAAGCAGGTGCCCATTTGAATTATAGAACACGCCGGCGCCGCGCACCGGCAACAGCTCCTGCGAATAACCGGATACCAGTACTATTATCATGTGCGGATAGAGTGCACCGTATAACACTCATACATATATTACCTGTATAAATGTTGTGTACAATACCTCCTAGCAATAGCGGTGTACATTTTATATATATATATAAACTTGCGGATCTGTTATTTCTCTTCGGTGTGTAGTATGTGTATGTTGTGCGTTATACTATCATGATTTTTAGTACGAGCGGTATGTCTATTTG